CGGCGATGGGACGAATGCTTTTCGAGCTTTTTTTTCATTAATCTATGAGTCCTACTCATGAGCAAACTATGAGTTCTAACCGAGGGTTTCTACACTGAAAAAGCTGTTTCAATAAATACCCATTTTTGGAACGAAATTGAAACTCTTTTAAGGTTTCGTCGCGGGCACGAAACCATCTTTCGTTCGTACGGAATCTTCTTTTCTTCAGACTAAGAGCCTAATATTTGCATTATAGCTATCAGTAAGTGCTAAATAGTAAGGATGCGGATCTGAGTGAGGAGGATGTCCACACTCGTGCCGATCCACACCCTGTCAACGAAGAACTGAAACATGTAGTCAAAAGTATCAGATAAAAAAGTGATTCTAGAAAATTCCTCATCTTGAACCATTCATTTCAAGAATAATTTGGAAAATGATGAATATTGTTTATATCAGTAAAATATATGCCATTTTTGTTGAAAATTCCAAGACGGACTTTTTAAAAAGAAACTCTCAACAAATGAATATCAAAAGAATTATCACAATAATGCGGAGGGATCCATGCTTTTGAAACAACAGTCATTTATAAGACAAATAGAAAAAGAAAATAAGCGCGAAATTTTATTAGTTATTTTGATGGATCTTGAGTGAGAACTCCAACTATGGATTCCAAGAGTTCTTTCAAAAAACAAACAATTCTAAAATTGTGAAATCACTTAGAATTCAACCGTAATTCAATAGTATACAGTGAAACAAAGAGTATCAAAAACGAATTTCGACATAAAGTACACTATCATTCAGTTGACCATTTTCATAAAGCTGATAATATGTAGGTACACTGTAACGATGTAAATTTAGAAAATTCACCGAATTTGTTCCGAGCTTCATAAGGCATTCTCAGTATATCGTCAAGCCAGCCATCTCAACTTTGAATTTGCTAAGATTGCACTAACAAATTGTAAAAACAATTTTGCATTGACTTCAAACATATTAGTTTTTAATTTTTATGGTTTTACTTAAATAAGTCGATTGTAACTTATTTTAGTAAATATGTCTTCATTTTAATTCTAAATGATATTGGTTTCTGCTAGTCTCAACGAACATGACGATGAAAAATATGAAAACTGCTATAATTGGAATCTCGATTCTTCTGGTTCTCAATAGCATCTGTGCAGACAAAATCATCAATCTTTTGATTGATTCGATTGCTTTAAAATGTATAGATTCGCCAAAATCGACTAATAATGTCGACTATTTTTTCCTAAAAGCGGCTTTCTACTAAAAAAAGAGGAAGCAGGTAACTTTTGTCTATAAAGCGGCCTAAAAGAGGATTTATCAAGTGAAAGAGAGAAACAATAAGCAATGTGGATAGCTAGTGATGAGTGTCAGTCGAAAACCATGAAAAAAATCCAAAAGCTTTCTCATCTGGAATATCTCGGAATTCTGTCGAGTTTCAGTATTTTTCTGCCAGATATAATGATTTTCCCACGTCCTTCCGTTTGATGTCAGTGAAATCGGCTTAATTTTGGTCTATGGATCAATTGGTCGGATCGATACAATTAAATTTACTTTTCTGAAAGAGAAATATCGCTGCTACTATTGTTCAAGAACTCAGAAATAGAATTTCCTCAATTGTTGAGTAAGTATTACAGGCACTATGTTAATTTGTTGAGAAATTGAAAATTAATCATATATTCTCTTGTAATGTCATGATTGGTAATAGTTGAAGTCATACATGTTCTCCGATACTTTTTGCAGTCATGATTTAGCTTTTACAAAGAACTCCTCGCATCTTATGTGAGTACGACATATATATGGTCAATAATATGCTATGTTCAAGTGAAGAATCAGGAAACAATGCACGAGAATTGAAGAGAAAATTCTATTATTTACGACATTTGATATTTCTCAATTGTAGCTGTCTTTTTTTTACAAAATCACCTTGTAGATTTATTCATATAACTAATTTCAATTAGAAACGTTTATTGACCATCTATATAAAAAGTTGTTTAAGAACTATGAAAAACCTTCAGAGATCATCATCACATGATAAAGAATTTTATGTAATATAATTGAAACATTATTGTAACCCATAGTTTTAACAGCTATCGCTCTCAAAATAGGAAACAATTTTCTTTTACAATATTTCAAAATGCTTCACTTATGTACAGAAAATATTGTGTTGAATGACACTATATTTCAGTTTGAATATATTCAAACAGTTCTTCTAGGATGGCTGAACACTGGTAGCATGAATACTGCACGATATTGGCACACAGCATGCATTTTAAAAAATGGAAAAGTGTTAGCTGTGGGTGGATATAACGGTATTTCTGTTCTGAATAGTACTGAATTGTATGATCCATCAGCAGGAATTTGGATAACGACTGGTAATATGAAAAACGCACGGTATGGACACACAGTATCCGTATTAAGAAATGGAAATGTGTTAGTTGCTGGTGGATATAATGATATTTCTGCTCTAAATAGTGCTGAATTGTATGACCCATCAACAGAAACTTGGATAGAGACTGGTAATATGAGTAATGCACGTTATGCACATACAGCATCCGTATTAAGAAATGGAAATGTGTTAGTGGCTGGTGGATATAATGATATTTCTGTTCTGAATAGTGCTGAATTGTATGATCCATCAACCGGAACTTGGATAAAGGCTGGCATTATGAATAGTGCACGAGACGGACACACAGCATCCGTATTAAGAAATGGAAATGTGTTAGTTGCTGGTGGATTTAATGGTAGTCGTCGTTCTAATAGTGCTGAGCTGTATGATTCATCAAGAGAAAGTTGGACAACCACTGGAAGTATGAATATTGTTCAAGCAGGGCACACAGCATGCATATTAACGAATGGGAAAGTGTTAGTTACTGGTGGATGGGGTACCAATCATCGTCGAAATGCTACTGAATTGTATGACTCATCAATAGGAACTTGGATAATCACTAGTAGTATGAGCAATGGAAGAATTGAACACACATTATCCTTATTAACGAATGGAAAAGTGTTAACTACTGGTGGATATAATAGTCAGTTTCTAAATAGCACTGAGTTGTATGATCCTTTAACAGAAAGTTGGACAACGTTTTATACAATGAATAAGGCACGATGTTACCACACAGCATCCGTATTAGCAGATGGGAGAGTGCTAGTTTCTGGTGGATGGGATGGTAGTGTTTCTCTAAATAGCTCAGAATTATATTAATGATGTCGAGCAAATGTACAATCAATAATCCTATGTTTATATATACATGGAATCTTGTTCCCAGACAGTAGTTCCATAAGAAAAACTTGCGGACTATAATGACAGTGAATGGCTTCCTTCGATCTTAGATCATCATACACTTGAGAATTCGGTACACCTACAGCTCGTCCCCTACTTTTCGTCCCACACTATTCATCCTAATAACAATTCGTCCCTTTACATTTCGTTCCCTTACAATTCGTTCGAATTACATTTTGTCCCAAATTATGACTATGGATTAACTTTACAGCAATATGAAAAAACATTTATTTAAATAAATTCAAGTGCTTATTTTCAAGTTCATAGCGATTCAAGTTAAATATTCTCCCATATTTTTGACCTCACAAGACGGGGTTGACGGAAAATGCCGAAAATGAAAACATCGAAAGGGAAAACGTAGACAAAAAAACAGGAAACGAAAATATCGAAAAGAAAAATGTAGAAGAGGAAAACTTCGAATGCTTTTAAAGATATCAGTAGAAAAGTTCAATTATTTTTGTTCTTATTGATCACTTTTTCGATCAACACATTTTAATCTCCATCGAATAAAGAAGATTTCTTAACATTAAGTGGATATATCGTCAAAATGGCAATAAACGTACATTCTGAAAACAGTTCATCTACAACTCAGCGATCTAAGATATCATTGGCCACATCGAATAAATAATAGTTCAGAAGATGAGAATACTGCTGTTCTCCATCTGTTTCATTCCAAAGCTTCCTCCTTCATTATTTATACTTTAGCTTATGACCTTCGATTTGCAATTCGACTGTCCAAAAAGCACCCGAATATGTGGATCTTTATTCAATTGATACGAAGGGAACATGCTCGTTTTGAACATATTTCAATTCAACTTGATGGTGGTGTATCTGCGCCGAAAGGGTATGGGTGGATGTGGATGTGGATGTGGATGTGGGTGAGGGTGTGGGGGGTGGGTATTGACGGAAAGAAGACTCACACCCACACCCTCTCTTTTTTCTTGCCCCGATATCATATCTTCAACGGCATCTGTACCTTTCAGTAGAGGGTTAGAGGCGATCACGCTGCGTTACTTGTTTCTTTTTGTTTGCTCCCAAGAACAATTGAGATGGACATTCTTTTTATTTTGAATATTTTCCTACCGAAAAAGTCTCTGCTTGATTTCAAGACAGAAGGAAAAATGGTAAAGAGCCCACATTTTGTTTTCTTTATTTGAAGAAAAACAGTGGTTATACTGATATTATCTCAATAGATAAGTTGACTTTTAATATAACATTTTTATTTGATAACGGCTACATGCATTATATTACCAGTGTGTTTCTGGGATAAATTAAATAAAAGTAGATCTGTAACATCACATGTAAGTATGTTATTCGTATCATTCTAGGGAGGATGTGGGTGTAGGTGTGGATGTGGATGTAAGTGGAACGAAAATGAAGATCCAGTTCACACTCACATACTCCACACTCAACATTTATTTCTCTTTCAATGCTCTTTCTTTTGTTTGTACATATTGATGATCCTGTGAACATATGATTTAATTATCTGATGTGGATGTTAGTGATTTTTGCTGTATGTGGTAGAAGAAAAGGCCAATGGTGATAATCGTGCTGAACGTGTAGATGTGGATGGGTGTGAGTGTGAGTGTCTTCACTTCGTTCATCCACAACAGAAAATTCTATTTAGTCTGAAGTAATTATAAGAGCCGGTTGTGACTTTTTGAAATCTTTCTGAAGTCGTACGAACTCGTATCAAATCCGGTGAATCCTGCTAAAATCTTTCTAGATCCTATGAAATCCCTTAGTTTTCTTCTAAAATCGTGTAGAATCTCCGAAAATTTCCTGAGGTTTTTGAAAAACGTCGATAATATCACAAGTAACGCTAGTAGCTAGAACTCGTTTGATCCCCGGCTGAATTCGATCTAGCAATCGTCTCTGGTCGCTTTTGGAATTTTGCTTTGAGGATTATTGCTCATTACACGCACAAATGAAAATCTGTCTATAATATTGTCAGTGATGACCATTTAGTAAAATGACCTGATATTTCTATAATATACTTTGGTAAACACTTTGCAGTTGGTTGTCATGATTGAATTAAACTTACGTCCCACTTTTCTCAGGTCGTAGCATGACGATTTTCATTCGGCTTCTGAAATTTTTGCGTTTGCTTAGGACTATCTCTATTTTGACATTCAATGCATTATTTTATCCTGAGTATGATTTCACCGCTCAAAAGAGAATTCAATTGGGTTTCCTGCAAAGTTTATATTCTGATAAAGTCGCGTCTTAACTGAAGTACCATGAACGGTTGCAAACTGTCCTGCATCTTCTACCAATCATCTGTTAACATAACGTCAAAAGAAGTCCATCCAAAATAATCTGTAGACCTGTAAAAAACGGTATTTCACCAATTAATTAATTTGAAAATGTTTTTTTCCCTCTCATGTTTCTTTAAAAAAGATGAAAATTCTACCTACAGTTGAATCTCTCGTGAGTGAACACCGTCGGGACTTTGGAAAAGTGTTCAGTTTTGGAAAGTGTTCACCTATGGGAGATATCATATATTTCACTACAGAACGAAATTAGATTTCAAAAACCGAGCTTCTTTACTAGTTCTGAAGTAATCAGAGACCATTTTCTCTTTTGTTTATCTTCTTTCATGTAAGCTTATTTGCATTGAAAACCTTTTTAACAACACAAAAATTAGCTTTATTTTAAAAGTTTTCTATCGTTGCTTGTCTGTTTTTTGTCGAATCAATATAAACGTCAATTAAGTTTGATTGTGATTCACTAATTCATTATGTATTTGTGGTTTTTTAATTGTTGCCAATAAACAAAGCTTTAGCATCAAGTCAATAACTTCTGTTATTTTTGGTGGTATATCAGTAGATGCAGAAATATTTTCGTCATTATCATCTCGTTCATTAACAACACATGTTAAATATTTTCAGTTATCGGACCATTCATAAACTTGTTCATTAAGTTTTATTGAATCAGAACTTTCTAATCTTCTTTTAACATTATGATTCTGATTTGTTTTATTACCTTCTACAAACTCTTTTTTCCTTATCATATATTATATACAAAACCAAGTGAAATATTATGCTTTTCAGCTAGTTTACTCTGCGATCAACTACTGCAATCGTTGTTACTAATTAGTAATTAATTGGACTTTTTCATTTCATGTAAGACGACATCGAGAAGTCATTATTCGTCTGATATGTACAGTTGAAACAAACAATACTTAGACAGTTTAGTGAGTTAGTCAGACATGATGGAGACATGAAAGAGAAAAAAAAGTTACGCGTCTTCACCTAAGAGAAGCTATAATAGCAATCGGGACTGTAGAACAGTGTTCACTTTCAGAGTAGGGAGGTGTTCACCTATGAGAGGGTATGGACGGGTGGGTGTGGGTGTGGGCGTTTGTGGATGTAGAACTAGTATGAATTCACATCCCACACCCTATAAATATATTTAATTCGTTATTCGTATATCTAAAACCACTAGTTTCTTTACCTAAACTCTTATTCTGATACTTGATCCCTTGTAACTATATCTGATCTCTTATAGCTTTATCTAATTCCTTATTTTTATACTGAAGCATTTATCCCTATACTTGCCTCTTAGAACTATATCTAATCCCTTGTTGTATACCTAACTTGATATTTCTATGCTTGAACCTGCATAATTACGTCTGATCCCCTACTTCTCTGTCTAGACTCTTATTCCTATAGTTAATCCCCTATAAGTATTTATTTTTAATTATGTGTTTACCCCTTTATAGCTACATCTATACCCCAAGACGTATAATTTCCTAGCTATTTCCTTAAACCTATTCTGTCACACTTGTACTCGTTCGCTTGTATTTTTATGTCTATATATCGTTACCTGCGTACCATTACACCTATGCTCTTGAATGTATTCCCTTATTACTATACCCTGGTAAGTTTACGCTTAATCTAACTCTCACTCTTGATAAGATCAGCATTGGAGAGCAACGTCTAATGGTATATTATATAGGCGAGCAAAGTAGGATGAGAAATAGAGATAATAGCAGCAACTCTCTATGCGTAATACTTCTATAACAGTAAATCGAGTTTATTCACTTCCAGCCTTGTTGCCTCTTAACGATTGCAGTGTTTAGTGGTAGTGAAGGATAAATGAAAACATCATTGTAATCATGCAATACCAGACGCTTTTAACGAATCAGAAACCATTTTCATATGTTGTCTAAGCAAATTGGCTTACATGAAACCTTTTGATATGCAGCTGATATTAATGATCTTGTATAACAGCTTTCGCTTGTCAACCACACAGAAAAAGGCTCGGAAAAAACTTTGACAGGAATTGATCACGCAAAATGTTTTGTAGAAAACATATGTGTCTTTTTTCTTTTCTCAAAGAACGAAAATAGTTCGGGAAGAAAAATACTATGCCATCTTGCATTGTACGGAACTATGAAGAGTTCCGTAATATAAATACGCAACCTTTCACTCTATCAACCATATACAGTAGGTTTCGTAGAAAAACTGTGAAACTCTTTTGTATCGGAAGAAAATGTTGAAGATTCCCTACAAATCATACAGAATCTTTCTTTATTCTACCAAACCATACGGAGTTTCGTAAAGAGGATACAAAACCTTTTTTGATCCTAGGAAGGTACGATGGTTTCATGTGAAAAATACGAAACTCTTTGCTTTTTTCTGAACCTAGAAATAGTTTAGTATGACAGATACTAAATCCGTCGAATTTTTCTGAACCCAAAAAAAGGTTTGGCAAGGAAAGTGCAAAACGATGGCCATTTTACGAAACTTGTAAGGTTCAGTGATAAATCTATTTTTTTTACAGTGTATGTCAAATTTTAGATGATGATGTTAAAACATAGCGAATTTCGCGCGCGATAGTCTGTTTTTATCTTATTTTCAAAGAATAGGAGAACAGTATTTCCTTATAAAACTTAATTTCACCATCGCTATGAATAATAATTGTTGAATTATTACAGTTAGAGATATTTTAGCTATCCTGAGAGAAAATTTTGTCATGCATTCAGAAGATGAAGCTGCAATAGCCATTAAGATAATATAAAAATAGAGTATCGCATACGAGGTTCGCGATGTTTTAACATGACCATCTATAAATTCAAGTACCATTGAAGTTCCAAATTTCTAACAACTGTCTCAAAACATATACCAAGTGTAGAAACTCACTAGTAAAATCGATCAGTTTTTCTTATTCGAAGTTCTATGGGCAAAAATGAACTATCCCACGAGAAGCAGCTTGTCAAACTCTACGAACTGGTATAGGTCCCATTCAAAACTGACACTCACACTTGGAAACCTTTTTTCGTGAGTAGTATCATTCAGTAATTCCGGACAATAAAAAATAGGGATGTTGCCATTTGGCAACACTCGGCCGCAATGGGACAAAAATTTTGAAAAATTCTTTTTTTTTCGTCTATCAAAGTGCAATATTTTGTGACACTTCTTCATCCGTACCTCTATACTAAATCACAGCTTATCAGTCTGATCGTCCATTGCATGTCAAAGATCAAATATTTCTAGAATGTTCTACAACTTTCCGGAACAATGTGATGTTCGCTGGATCTGTTCAGAGAAGTATTAGAAATGCAGAAAAATACTACAAAGTTTCAGAGCATTCTGAAGAATTCCAAACTAGACTATTCGAAAGTGTTCTGAAACTTTTTAGCATTTTTCTGGATTTCTAAAATTTTTCTGAACAGATCTGGCTAACGTTGTATTGTTTCGAAGAGTTGTTGGGCATTCTAGAAATATTCTACCTTTGATAAGCAATAGACGGTCAAACAGATAAATTGTGATTTAGCATAAAGCTTTGGATGAAAAAACACTACAAAACATTACATATTGACAGGCGAAAACAAAAATGAATTTTTCAAATTTTTCTCACTTTATGGCCGGGTATTGCCAAATGACAACATCCAGTCATTCGGTACCAAAGAACTTTTTTCTTCCGTAGAGCACACTTTTCCTATCTCCATGGTGAGGGAAGTACAATGATGCAGGAAAGGCTTTTTTTACTACTTTTCTTCTGATAATCGGTCGAAAAGAGTTAAAACAAGTCATGATTTAATCAAATGAATTTAATTTTAAATTGGAACGTGTATGGGTATGATTTTATGATGCATAATTTCCACCAACTACTGACGTTAATAATGAATTCGAATGAATTCGAATAGTTTAAAGAAAATTTAGGATTGTGAATACATTGATGTTATAAATTTAAAACTAAAGTATATTGATATTGAACAACATAAGCAAAAACGAACTAATAGAAGAATCCAACAAGATGAGTATAATATGAATAAAAATGATCAAATAAATATTATTAAAAAACAAGTAATTAATATTGATTCAAAATGGATACAATTAAATGAAAAAATCAAAAAATTGGATGTGTTTTAAATATAAACCGATTATTTTCTATCGAAAGAATTATTTCATTCATTTTCAGAAGTCCATTCTTGAAAATGCTTAATTCGTTTCATTTATTGATATACTGGAATCTATTCTTTGAAATAAATATGGCTGTTTGATTAAGCTCTTTCGAACTGTTGATCTGTAAAGTTTTATGCATCTAATCTCGATGCGATGCCGTAAATTATATTGTTTTTTTCGAAACTCATTAGTTTTCAGATCATAACGACATTTTTTTTCATGCACTATGATCTATTCGAAGTCTAGAAATCAATTTACAGGCTATTGGATTTCAACTCAGTTCAGCTTTTTTGATATTTGAACAATGAAAAATAATTATCAGAATATTTTCATAGAACAGATCTTTTTTATTAACTTCTAATACAGCGTTTCAAAAGTTTGAAACGTGAATTTCTCTTTAATTATACGAATGATTGACATGAGATTTTTATGATTTTATTGGATTCTTGTTAAAATCTGTTTTTGTATGGTTTTATTTGCACTTACTATTCAAATCTTTGAAATAGTCCAAACATATGATGGCGATGCAAGTTCGATTTTTCATGGGTTTTTTTCGTATGTTATTTTTTTAAAGTTTCCATGGTACGATCGATCTACTATAATATCAGTTTCATAAAAGCATTATAAGATAGTTCTCATGTAATGTTCATGTCAGTATTTGGATAGGCGTGAAATGCGGGTGACGGTGTGGATGTTGTTGTATCTACTTTTTAACGCCCAATAATCATACGCACACCAGCCACACCCACGTTCACACCCTCTCATTTTTTAGAAAGATATGAATAATTGAAAGGCCATTCTTGACTGTTGACCAATGTACACTTGGTTGGGATCATGATAAACTGATCGTCGAACGGCAAATCGAGAGTGTTTTGCATTTGGCTAATCACAACAGATCGGAAGATTTCGAAAAAGACTTATGAAATATTACTCATTCAAATTGAACACTATCCGAGTATCTGCATTGGTTAATTTTGGAGCTCGAAGTGAGCATAATAATGCATGAAGCCCTAGTGGATGTCACCCGTCACATGATGCAATCAAAAATACCGAGTGACGGTACGACAGTAAAAAACATCGTGAGGCAAATAAATATGGGCGAAAGAAAAACATCTGTTATTATACCAATGTTAGCGCTTAGTTTATGTTCGCCATCCTCGAGTTTGGTACGTGTAGTAGTACTGAAATCGCTATTCACCATGAATTATCAATCATTAAGATTCAAATAAAAGGTTTACTTACTCGACGCATTTTTCCCTTTATTTGTCGTTGCGATATAAGTTTTGACCATTTTGATAATTGGGTTAATGTTTTTATATTTACTTGTTTGTTCTTTTTCTTAAGTTTGCGACGAAAAAAACTTTCATTTTCTTCTCTTTATTATCATCATCATCAGTATCTGACATGATCAATAAATAAAATAAACAATAAAAACAAAAGTAACTGAAAATTGATCTTAGAACTATATGTTTATATAATAAGAAATTGTACTTGTACTCCTTGTTGATCCCATTCATTCATAATTACCGAATGATAGGCAATATTTGTTATTACAACAATATATTCAAAAAGGCAAAACATGGAATACATGTATGGTTCACAAAGTGTCACATGTCGATAATACAGATATAATGAAATCAAAACTGAAAGAATATTCAACATAAACCATCTTAATCTTTTTGAACGTAAAGATTTTTCTTGTTCATTTAAAGGAATATGTATTATTCTTGGCCAAAAATAATCGGTTAATACTGTCAATAGCATATGTGCTAATGAACATATTATAAAACTAATAAAGGAACATTCATGTATCCATTTTATTTCCTTCGATGATACGTATGTCAATAAAAGGAGAAATGTTAATTCAAGAAAATGAAAAGTACTACTTGTTATTTGTACTAATGCAAAACGTTCAGTGAGATCAATATGATGACGATTAAGTACATGATTTAATTGTAAATAAGCAATAATATAACGAGGAACACTATCTAAAGCAAAACAAAAACGCCATATAAAACGTTGAGGTTCATATTCACCGATTGATGCTGATATAGATGGAAGAACATTAGTAACATTACAATGTGTCCGTGTTGATTCTTCAAAATCTTTCATTAATGATAAAGTAACACAAGAAAATAGAGCGAAACATGGTAATATATAAGCAAACCATAGAAACTGGCGCATAGATATATGAATACCTATAAAACAAAGCTTGAATGAAACAAATCTTTTTAAAAGCAGAAAATTAAATTACGTGACAGCATTCTTTGACAAGTCGTGTTTACTTGAATGGAATAAGATCAATATCAGAATCTGAAACGATTTATGTCACATATGTTTAACAATTCATACGAAAAAACCTAAAGATGCTTGACTCTGCAGATTTACAGGAAAGCATGTGTTATCATCAGCAACAGTATTCCATTGGACGTTATTTCAACCATGGTGATCCATCGAACCTATAGATCATTCATTCTTCAAATATGTACATTAAACCAATGAAATATTTCAACGCAAGAGGTCACTTTCAAGTAGGTTGTATGAATAGAAACAAGAATATGNTACATGAAGAATGAAATTATCGGTCAATGGCGTTTAGAAGCAGCCAAGCGAGCTTATCTTCTTGCTAATTTATCAGATCCGGAGACAATCGATGGAAAAGTTTCATGTCGTTCTTGTGATTATTATTTGGGTGAACTTTCATGGATAAGAAAACGAAATAATAATTATTTTGTTCAACAACAACAATTTATTGAAAGAATTGAAATTGAACGATATCCTACGGAACAAATCATCAAAGAAATACAATTAAATGGTATTCGATATAATTAGTTCAACCAAATATTTTATTCTGTTTTTTCATTTAAGGAAAAATTCGATGTGGAAATAAACAATGTCGTGAAGAATTAGGTGGATTACAACTATTTAGAGATCGACCAGATGTCAAAGAAATGTGTGCACTTAAATGTAAACAATTGAAATTTTCTTACAGAAATAAAGATGGAGAACCTCAAGTTTTTATTTTCAAGAAATGGACCGATGTTAAATTTAAAGTACTCGATTTAGAACCAATTAATATCGATTATACACTCAATAATCAACAATAGATTTTTATTTTTTTTTATCATCAATATTTTCATAAAACGTATTTTGAAAATGATCGAAAAATGTTCTATTCTTTTCGATTCTATTCGTTAATTTTCTTAACGGCATTCATTACATTTGTTAGCATTGGTTATACAGTTTATTAGCTAAATAATGAAAAAGACTGTATTTATATGTGGATAAGATTATGTCATATGTTGAACAATAGTAAAAAGAACGATGATCACGCCATATGTAGAAAACAAGGTTATTGGAAGATGACATGGTCATCAAGGGTTATCTCGATAACACCTCCCCCTCCCTTGAAGATGAACGTCCTCGTTCATTCATAAGGTAAAATCCGTTTATTTCCTGTTATTTCGTTGAAACCAAAGTAAACTTGTCGAAGTAAAATAAAGATCATCATTTCATCTTGTGGTGTAAAGATTGGTTTCATTATATTCACATGTACTTGTCTAATATAATTTGAATGTTCTAATTGAATTTCATATGTAGCTGATCCAAGGACGTTAGTCACATGGTATGCTCCTTCGAATACTGATTGCAGTTTATTATTTCGTACAGCTGGCTTTGATAATACCAATTGTCCTATTTCATAATGTATATGTTGTCGATGTTTATCATAACCTTTCTTACTCAGTTGCTGTTGTTCTTGAATGTTCCTGTGAGCTTGTTGGATAATAAATGAACGGTATTGACGCAATTGATTATAATAATCATTTGATCTTATGAATTGTAACATATATTGTGATTGAGCAAGTGGTAAAGTAGAGTATTTTCCATATAATAACTGATATGGTGAATACTTAGTTGTTCGACGTTGACCGATATTGTAAGCATAAAAAGTTGGTGACAAATATTGATCCCAATTATTACGATTCAAATCTTGTAATTTACATAATTGTGTCTTAATTGTCGCATTAAACCTTTCAATTGTTCCATTTGTTTGAGGACGAAAAGGTGTTGAGAGAATGTGATTAATTCCGATATCCTTCGTAACTGCTTGCATTAGGCAATTATTGAAATGATATCCTGGTGTGGGTACTTTGCTCTTTTCATCATCCACACTCACACTCACATCCAGCGTGAAAACCCACATTGATACTTAAGCATTCTGTCGTATGTTTATTTAACGGTCTTGCCATGGGCGCATGACTAACGAAAAGTAAAAAGAACAGACATGATGTTGTGCATGTAAAGAAGCACGCCATTGCCACAGTTTGGAGAATTTCAACTGTGAATTCGATCACGACTTACCTGGCAACTCACAATCACCCAGCAAAAAAATATCAAGTATGCCCAAATGACTTCTAAGTCCGACCAGTGTATTTACTAGTTTTGATAATAGGGTCGATGATTTCGTTCTTGTCTGGCTGGGTCCACGTAGTTCAAAAGCAGTGGAAGCTGAAGAAACACATGCTGGAATTGTTAAGCGTCAGTCTCAGTTAGAAACGATTATTAGTTTTACTCGCCAATTCAATGACGTACAAGATTGTCGTGAATTCATCGAATCTTCGAAAACCGAAAAAGTCTTTCTTATTGTGTGTAGTCATTTGGGTGAATCTCTTGTGCCAACTGTTCATACATTACTACAACTCGAAGTCATTTATATTTTCTGTATTGATCAACAAAAGCATGCCACTTGGGCAAAATCATATGAAAACAATTCGTGCTATCTGTACGACAACAAGAGAGTTGCTGGATGTATTGATTCGAGATGTTTCAATGCATGCAAAGAATTTGACTCCTTTGAGCATATTCAATACCGACCAGAGTAAAGAGGCTTCATTACTATCTCTTAAGGATGAAGAGAAACGTTTCATGCGGTTTCATCTGTTACTGCAAGTACTTCTGCGTATGCCAACAAATGAAAATGCGCGCAATGATATGCGAAATGAATGTGAAAAAGCATATCGTGGAAACGTATACGAACTGGCAAAAATCGATGAATTCTTTCGAAATTATACACCAGACAGTTGTATTTCGCGGTATACAAAAGATTCGTTCATTTATTGGTTACTTAATAAAGCTTTTCGAGCAGAAAATATTGACATAATTTTCAAATTTCGATTTTTCATCGTTGATCTTCATCATAAAGTGGAAGAACTTCATCGACCATGCACTGGCACCTTGTTTCGTGGTCAAACGATGTCTGTTGTTGAACTGCAACTATTAAAAGAGAGTAAAAATAAACTTGTTTCTGTAAATACATTTTTTTCCACGACAAAGTCATCAGATCGTGCGATAGCTTTTAGTGGAGAAGGAAATGGTTTACCTAAATCAGAGGCTATTTTATTCTAAATAGAAGATGATGAACATACGAATGAGACACAACCTTTTGCTAATATTACTCACTTAAGTAGTAAGCCAAATGAAGATGAAATTTTGTTCTCCATGAAGACAATTTTTCGCCTTATGGATGTCGAACAGTGAGGTAACATTTGGGTAGTTTATCTCACATTAAGTAACGAAGGTGAACAAAGTTTGACAGATTTAGTGAATCATTTAAAAAAGTAAATTGATGAGGAACAAATGCCACCGTTAATCATGCTGGGTGAGTTTCTTTGGAAAATGAGAGATAATGGTCGGGCAGCTCGATACTATAAAATAATGTTAAAGGAACTACCATCCGATGATGCAGTCATCGGCAAAGTTTGCAACAATATTGGATTGATCGCGATGGAGAACGATGATTTTCGTAAAGCTGTACGTTAGTGTAAACAAGCCATACGTTTACAAGAATCAATAGAAAACTTGGATCTAGCTGAAACATATTCCAATATCGCAATGTTACATGATATGCAAGAAAAAATCAACCAAGCAATGTTATTTAACGAAAAATCATTAAAAATTCGCCTTCGTCTTTTGCCACATGATCATGCACTCGTTGCAATAACATACAATAATATTGGACTAGTCTATTTTCATCGATGCAACTATCAGAAAGCTCTGTACTATTACGAAAAAACACGTTTGATAGAAAATGTTGCTCTCGGCTCATCAGACTACTTTGATCATGCCGCGACGCTGAATAACATTGGGCTTGTACATTTCGAACAAGGCCACTATGACCTTGCGCTTCGCTTCTATAAAGATGCATTAACCATACGAGAGCGCTCATTACCAGCTAAGCATCTACGATTTGCTGAAAGTTATAATAATATTGCCTCGCTTCATGAAAGACTCGGTGAACTGAATGAAGCGTTAGCCATGTTTGAGAAAGCACTTGAAGTACGGTTTGCCGCCCTGCTACCTGACCATCCACAAATTGCTATATCTTATAGCAATCTTGCTAATGTTCTCGATGCATTGGGTAGATCTGATGAAACTTTAGCAAACTATTTTAAAGCGCTTAAAAATAGAAATAGTTCATCACCAGAAGCTATGCACTCAAGAGCATTATTCTTAAACAACATCGTTGAACACTATCGTGATGAAAAAAACTGTGTTGAAGCAACCAAGTACCACCAAGAAGCGTTCAGAATACGTCTTCAACTTTTTTCACGGAACAAACATCCAGATTTGGCTATGAGCTACAACAACATGGGCCTACTCTCCATTGATCACTGTATGTTTGACAAAGCATTGTATTATCTTCTTCGGGCACTGAAAATTTATCGTGAAATCTACGACCTAGAACATCCTCAAATAGCCACGTCGTTGTTTAACATTGGACTCGCCTTCTATGAAAAAGATAAAAATGAAGCAGCACTAAATTATTTGCAACAAGCGCTTGATATTCAAACGTGAACGCTACCAGATGGACACAAAGAAACCGAGAATACGCAACAGAGCATTACTTTTGTCACACAAAAACTGTACAAGAACAAGAACAAGAAATCCAATAAAAACAAGCTACACTAGAATCACAATCTAGACTCTCAAGCAAATACCAAGCTACCCACAGAGAAACCTTTTAAGAGTGGCTTTTTCAGAAAATCAGACGTTCTGGCTCTGACGATGTGTGTATGTGTGCGTGTGTGCGTTGGCTGAGAAGGAGGGATAGACGTATGATTGTTGGTGTGTCTGTGATTAAGGTTTTTATTGTAGGAGTGCGTGTTTTTGTTGGTGTGAGTGCAAAGAAGAAAAATACTGAAGTTGACACACGCAAATCCCCATCCTTTTTAAGTTGATTGTGTCAAAAGCTCTTTTGCACTTTCAGCTGCATACGATAACAAAACAGTACGCATAAAATCTATGAACGATTAGTTTGTTGCCACTCAAAATGAAGAGAGGTCTATAGTTCTTACGTATATTCTCAGCAGATAGAGAGTGTTCTAAAAGTTCGTATTAATGATTCATTCGTAAATAGGCAACCATTAGTTGAAAGAAAAAAATGAGATCTTTTCATGCGAGTAGAACTAGGATCAATACGGTGTGACTAAAGACTTTTGATCAGGACGGATATTTTTCTGATTTCAAAGGACAGCATTTCCAAATGAACAATTATTGATGATATTTAAGGATATTTATAAGTTAATAATTGTCAATTGAGTGCACATGATGTATGGATAGAATTCGTTTTTGATTTCCCAAAACAGATTTTCTCCTCTATGTTGCTGTGAAAACTGTGAATATCCACCACATTCTGTTTATAAACTGTTCACAGTTATTTTATCTAATACTATCCATTGTCTATTTATAAATGTTCCACTAGCATCACGAGCTTCACGAAAAGCAATGCATTTGATTCTGTCAATCATCCTTTGTTGTTCGGTATTATCAGCACCAGCCATTTCAAATAATGAAACTTCGTTGATTTAACAGGAAGATGGATTTTATTATGAAATATATCGATGAGACAATTACCTTTTATGACTCCACGAATCACTAAAATTTCTCTCCGCTATTACTTTCTAACAGAAAGAAAACGAAAAAATCTTTTAAATAACTGCTACCACGAGGAGCAAACAACAGAACGTAAAAGGATAGTCTTATTTTCTGAGTCATAGTTACATCTTATAATCGTTAGAATAGCCTCTTTTCACTTTTTTTCTAGAGAATTCTTAATTTGTTTTGCTTTACAACTCGTTAAAAGTGAATTATAACGATTTTTTTGGACATAATTTCATGGTTTTTGAGAGTTTAATACATGAAAGTTCTCTAAACTATTACTATTTAGCATTCTTAAACCCCATTTTTCACAGGATTTCATTTGGTATAAAATTCATCATATCTTCTATTTGAAATTATAGCGGTACCCCCTTTGAATAATATTGTTTCCAATCCTGTATTGGACATACATATATGCTATGCATACCCTAAAAATAATTCTTAAGATCCGCAAGACCCGCATCCTATTAAAATATGGCAGTGTATCATGTATAATGTCATCGAAGTTGTCGACGGTTCAGTTGTTATTAATTTGTCGTCGTGATTAGTATGCTACGGGTGCTACCAGGGTGTGAGTTGAAAAGGAAACACCAACAGTCGCATCCATGTACACCTACACCCCATCCCATACCCACCCACACCGTATGACACAATCTATAATTAAAACAAATAATAAGAAAGAATGTAACTAAAAATTGATCTTAGAACCGTGTGTTTATATAATAAGAAATTGTACTTGTACTCCTTGTTGATTCCATTCATTCATAATTACCGAATGATAGGCAATATTTGTTATTACAACAATATATTCAAAAAGGCAAAACATGGAATATATGTATGGTTCACAAAACTTCACATGTCGATAATAAAAATAAAATGAAATCAAAATTGAAAGAATGTTCAACATAAACCATCTTAATCTTTTTGAACGAAAAGATTTTTCTTGTTCATTTAAAGGAATACGTATTATTCTTGGCCAAAAATAATCGGTTAATACCGTCAATAGCATATGTGTTAATGAACATATTATAAAACTAATAAAGGAATATTCATGTATCCATTTAATTTCCCTCGATGATACGTATGTTAATAAAAGAAGAAATGTTAATTCAAGAAAATGAAAAGTACTACTTGTTATTTGTACTAATGTAAAACGTTCGGGGAGGTCGATATGTTGACGATTAAGTACATGATTTAATTGTAAATAAGCAATAATATAACGAGGAATACTATCTAAAGCAAAACAAAAACGCCAAATAAAACGTTGAGGTTCATATTGACCGATCGAGGCTGATATTGATGGAAGAAAATTAGTAACATTGCAATGCGTGTGTGTTGATTTTTCAAAATCTTTCATTAGTGATAAACTAACACAAGAAAATAGAGCAAAACATGGTAATGTATAAGTAAACCATAGAAACTGGCGCATGGATATATGAATTCCTATAAAACAAAGCTTGAATGAAACAAATCTTTTTCAAAGCAGAAAATTAAATTACTGGACAACATTCTTTGACAACTCGTGTTCACTTGAATGGAATAGGATCAATATCAGAATCTGAAACGACTTATGTCACATATATTTAACAATTCATACGAAAAAAAAATCTAAAGATTCTTGACTCTGCAGATTTACAGGAAAGCATGCGTTATCATTAGCGGCAATATTCCATTGGACGTTATTTCAACCGTGATGATTCATCGAACCTGTACATTAAACCAATGAAATATTTCAACGTAAGAGGTCACTTTCAAGTAGGTTGTATAAATAGAAACAAGAATATGACAATATTAAATAAAAGAGGAGAACATAATGCCTCTTTTTCTACTCTACTTAGCGCACTTAAAGATCGACTTAATCGATGAATACAATGAATCCGAAAATTGACCAAGATTAGATCGATCATTAATCCTCCGGTAGCCCCGAAGTACGGATGTTTGTTCCGATCAGCCGGTAGCGACCACATTCGACATCTACCTTCAGCTGTCTACCACGTTTTCTGCTCTTCGAAATGTAACCATCGACCTAACATAGAGAGCGATTCCATTCAAAAGAGCAAAAGTAATTGAAGAAGAACATGGGATCAATGCAAAAGAAGTATTAGTGATAACGAGCTAACAAGGCGTGAAAACGAAAAAAAGATCGACGAAGATTGCCAAGCCATAAACAAGAGTGCAAGAACATAAAAGAATGACTAAGACTAGTGCACGGTTAAGAAAAAGACGACCAACAAAAAGAGAATGACAATAAGAGTGGAGAGACCACGAGGTATCACAATAAGATGCTCATGAACAGGACAACGAGAAAGATAAGAACGGTAAAAGTCAAAGAAGAATGTCAATAATCTAAAGCAAATAGAGACAGCGATATAGCTGAAAGTTGGTCCTCACATCTGCATGCAGAATTATCAGAAATTGTGGTGCCAAACTGCGTACCTGAATGAGCATATTTTTCTAATGAAATACAGAAGCACTGACTATTTAAAGCTGGTCTCTCTATTCTCAATGTGCTGAATCCATCGATCAGTTAGATGCTACAGCTGTTATACCCCGAGTCGCTCATAAAATTCCACGACATGCGTTATTTCTAGTGATGACAAAGAAAAATTCGATAATCGATGAATTAAAGAAATTTGATACCATGCAGTTGTCGATAATCATATTAATCCTTTAAAATACACTTGCTTACTCATTCCTTCTATAATTTCGTTCTTATTCTCTTCTGTTTTCGTCTCCTTTCGTATTATCAATATTACTTTTTTCTTTCTTTCTGTCCTGTATAAGCCAGTGTTGTGCGTGGGTGTGAGGTGTGGATGTGGCTGTAGCTGTGCGTGTGCGTGTGAGCGTGAGTGAGTATGGGTGTGCGTCTCTGTAATGAATGATCCGTCTATGCCCACACAACACCCACACCCCTAGTATCTTAATTTTGAACAGATTTATTTATAAAAATATTTCAAACATCATGCTGGACTTGTGATTGATTACAATGATACTGTCATTCAATGAAAAGAATAAATATAGTACTGAATTTTCTGATCTTATCTATTGACTGACGACATTTAAATGACTTAAAATCATAATACTATTGGAGCTCCAGGATGCCACTAAAAGGCTCGTAATGATTTTTCAGAAAATTTTCTAACTATTAAAATTGATTAGACATGTATGATGGGTGCTAACACTTTATATGATTCATGTATCCAATGAATTTTAGAAACTGATATGAATATCAGTGAAAGTGACGCTTCATATCCACGTTATATCCTCTCATAGAAAGTCATTACTATCAAATAATGAATAAAGACAATTTTAATTCTAACCATTTTCTCTACTAGATTTTCTAATTTCATTGGTATTTTTTGGTAATAAAAAGTTGTTCAAATTATCATTTTCATTTTTGGTATCAGAAATAGAGATATAAAAGTATTTAGAATATTCTTATTCACGTTGTCATATTTAGTTGCTATTATTAAGGGATTTCCGATTCATATAGTATTTTAAGAAATTTTTCAATTTGAAATTTTCTCTTATCTTATAGAATTAATTAAATCTAAATTAAGATTTCTATCTGTGATAGTCAAAGAGAAAAGGATATTTATTCTATCGATAAAATCACATAAAAAATCATAGTAACAAGTTTAGTTTTTATTCAAATATTCACTTACTCGATGTCCAAAGAAAATCATCTGGCCGCCAAAGACGTAATGTTTGTAAATATGGAATATCACGAGCTAGAAAAGGTACAAGATTTTTCCCAACACCTATCACATCATTTGAACCTCTATGACAACTGGGAACACAAAAATTCAGCATCTCGAACTGAATTCAATGAGTTTTTTTGCAGTTTATCAGATGCCTAAAAATAAAAGGAAAGCAATGATTCAAAATTATAATAGTTTATTTATTTACCCCAAAAA